ATTTGACATGGGCCGTGGTCTGTGATCATATCATGCAGGAACATGAAATAAACATTTTCACAGTGAGTCAAAAGGACTTGGTTCTACTTTTGAGATACTTGCTAAATGTGCAGCGATGAGCAGGACCTGTTGTGGTGGCAAATTACAGGGAGAAAAAATTTCAGTACTGAACAGGAAAGACAGTGATAGTGTGGCTATGGCTGCTTTGAAGAAATGTACTATAACCCAAGAACTAGGAGGAAAATTGAAGATTAAGTGCAGTAATTAGCACAATGGGTAATAACAAAATAGCAATCGTAGTTGCTATGTGTCCATGGCTTGCTATATGTCAGGCAGTGTTCTAAGCACTTTATTCTTATATTAACCCAGTGGTTGCCTCCATAGCAATGAAATCAGAAAGTCTTAGATTAGGGACCAAGCATCCATAATGCTTAAAAATCCCCCAGGTAGTTCCAATCTGCAGCAAAGTCTGGGAACCACTCAACGATCCTGCAAGGTAAATACTCACATTACTATTTCCGTCTTCTCAGGGTGGGAACTGAGTCAGAGAGGTAAAGGACCTTGCCAAGCTCAAAGAGCTGAATAGTTGATACGTGAATCCAGGCAGTTTGATTCCAGAACCCTTGATCTTACCCACCTCGGTGGCTCCCCTAGGTTTCAATGCTATTTCTAGTGAGCAGCCTAGATTTTTATGACTTGAAGGACATTTTTTCTTTTTTTAAATTTCTTTATTGATTAAGGTGTTACATATGTGTCCTTATTCCCCCATTACTTCCCCTATCCTTTCCACTCATGCCCTCACCCCTCTGTTGTCTGTGTCCATTGGTTAGGCTTATATGCATGCATACAAGTCCTTTGATATTAATGCATGTTTTAAAAATAATCATTTTAGGAACTTATAGCCTATTCCTATGCAGTTTGGTTCCTATCTCTATCTGGAATACTTGTCTCCTTGGGCAGTACATATCTTTACTGTGCACAAAGTTGTCAAAACCGGCCTTTCTCTTGGCCCCAATTCCTTAGCCCCTCCTCCCAGTGGTTGTACTTGCGAAAGAGGAAGGGGCCCAGGCAGGAATAAAGCAAAGCAGGGCAAGCAGAGTGGCTCTTCCTATGATGAGACAGGCCCCGGTGTCCAGGTTTTGACTGTTACATGTCAATACTAAGATTTCTTTTGTTCAGCCTCTGCGCAGGCTTCTAATGCCTCATATGTCTTTCTACCATCATCTCCAACCTAAAGTGATGTCATATTATGCAACTTCTAGGGTCTAGGTTTTCTGCTTAGCTTTGCCTCTCTTACTGTATGACTGGGCAAGAGTAAGCTGATAATCTCTTCCAGACTCATGAGCTGTGTGTCATTGGAAATGAACTTGGGAAGTCTGCTTGGCTAAATTTCTGGCTCGACAGCCCGTCCTTGTTATAAGTTTAAGTTCAATGCGTACTTCTGCAGACTGCTCACTGATTTCCAGGCCTTCAGAGCCACCATCACCACTGGTTTCAAAGTCCATTATGAACTTGGGTATCCTGTCTGCAATGGACAGACTTGGTCAGAGTTATCAAGGTCCAAGCAATTACCTTTTTGTTAGAACTGGTGGCAGGATAACACTCATGATTTAATCCTCCCATAGCAACTGTTTATCTAGTGCAAGGGCACATTTACTAAGCTGGGCCTGGGGCCTGAGGAGTCACCCGGATGTGGGACCCTCCCAAGGAGCATGTTTTCTCTCACGGCTTGGATTTCGAGGTGTGTTCACCATGGCCACGGCCTAGGCATTTGTTGCAATAGTTACCATTTCTCTCGGTGAAACTGTGCTCCGTGCAGTGAAATCACACACACCCACCCCACGCTGCAACATAACCCGGCCACGGAGCTCTTCTCAGTTCCAAGTTCAGGTGCTGAACATCCCGGGCCGACCCCAGGGGCCAACGTGAGGGAGAGTGGCAGTTAGAATTTACATAGCAACCGGGCGGCTCCCAACCACCATGCATAAACCCCCGGTTTGTTTATTCTGCATCTGTTAAAAAAAAGAATTCTCTATTTTGTCATTATGAAACTCAACTGAGGAGGAAAAAAAAAAAAAAAAAACACACAAAACTGATCATTCTTGCTTCCATAAGTCATTTCTGAAAGAACTAAATAAGTCACTAGTAGTAACATATTTCATCGGTGTTCTAACGGGCATTGCTATTTTTTTTTTAAATGGTAAATTCAGGAGGAGGATACGTCCACCCCACACTTCCCCAGATTGAATTAGCAAAGGTAAAATATTACACGAACAATTAAAATGCTCTTGTAGCAAAAGGGGAGAGAACTGGGGGTCCGATTCTTCAGAAGACCCGAAGGAGTCAGTCAGTCCTGTCTCCTTGGTTACCTAGGTCCCCGGGCTGGGATAGGACAGGGCAGCTGAGGATGACGGGGTTGTCCAGGGCAGGTGCAAACAACAGAGGGGGCTAGCAGAGGGTGGAGGAGGAGAGTTCCTGAAGCCGAGGCCTTGGTCAGCCCCAGCACACGTCTGGATTCTGCTCTTCTGGGGATCAGAACACACAGGACCCAACGAGTCCAAATGAAGTCCGACTCCGAGAAGTTTGTTGGAGGACTCTGGGGCCTGCGCGGACTCACACAGCCACAATCCGAACGTAGCTTTAGATTCATCACCCACCCCATGTGCGGCGGTGCCAAGGCCCCATCTAGGGCCGGTCCCTTGTGAGGCCCAACCACGGCCAGAAGGATGTGCTGGAGGCTTGGCCAAGGCCTTTGATGACGGATTTAATGATTTCCATGAGGCCCAGTATCTTTTGGACAGATCAAAAGAACTCGAAACGATCCTTGGCCATTTGAATCTCTGTGGCTCACATTTTTAGAGTTCGTCTGGTGTGAATAGACTTTGAACATTGAAAGTGGATGTATTCTAGGCTTTCAAAAGTTTCCAAATTCTTGAACAATATTGTAATATTTTTTTCCAGAACAGGTAGAGTACTCCAATATGAGAGAGTAACTGCCTCAGACCCACCAGGGAACAGAGTAATAACAATGAGAAAAATAACAAAATCTTGCTGAGTGTCCCACTAAACAGGTACATGTTAAGTGACTGTTTGCTGATTGAAGGAAGCTACTCTTCAAAAGTGTGCCTCCATGAAATTAGAGACGGCCACATGTCACTGTCCTTCAGGGTCTTTTCAAAGTGTGAACTCTGTGAGGGTCAAAGGTCTGTAATGAAACTCTTGCAAATGTTATTTTTTCCCAAAGAAGAAACTAAGGACGTCTAAAACACACTCCCGTCCTGTGACTTGAGGACCCCTAGTGGTCACTGAAGTAATAACTCCTTCTGAACACACCATCTGGAGAATATTTCAACACCCATTTTCAAATGCATATATATATATAATATATTTGAAATGCATATATATATATATATATATATATATATATATATATATGCTGTGATTAAAGAAATAAAATGCACTTAACCTGAAAATATTATAATGATGTTGTTAAAGAAAGATATCAAAGGTACTACCACTAATAGGAGAGCTGGATGTTTTGGTGTAACACTCAAAAAAGTTGTAATCCCCTGCTTTAGAGAACCATAACTTAGGGCAGCTGCTCTTTTGTTGATAAGCAGCACCTTGAATAGTTGGGTCTACTCAGGATAACTCAACCAGGAACAGAATTGTATTAGCTATAAATATCACACATTTATTGCCAGTCTAGAAAAGATCATTGACCTGCAAAGAGAATTTGCAGCTTTAACCAAATACCAAGTGGCACGGTTACAGAGAGTGCACTATATAATCAAATCAGAAAATCTCTCCACATTGGAACTCTGGCTTTCACTGGCTATCTCTGGAAACTAGGCAAGTCAACACCATATGGAAAATGTGGCCTCAGTTCAACCAAATTTTTAATTCACCCTTTAAAAAATTCACACACACACACACAAAAAAAATTCACACACACAAAGGTACTATCAAGAGTGAGGTATGGCCTGGCTGATGCGGTTCAATGATTGAGCATTGAACTATGAACCAGGAGGTCTTGGTTCGATTCCTGGTCAGGGCACATGCTTGGGTTGTGGACTTGAGCTGCAGTGGGGGGGATGCTGGAGGCAACCTATCAACAATGATTCTCTTCATCACTGATGTCTCTCCCTCTCTCTCCCTCTCCCTCCCTCCCCCTCTCTCCCTTCTCTGAAATCATATATATTGTGTGTGTGTGTGTATATATATATATATATATATATATATATATATATGAGTGTTAAGTCGTGGCTCAGCTGTGTGCATGTGAGTGTGTGTGTCTGAACTCTCTTGTCCCTCTGAATTCAGTGTCATCACTCTGTCTTTATTAAAATATTCTCTTAGATTGCCTGATTTCCAATGTTAGTAGTCTCCTGGAGAAGTCAGTCAAATAAAGTGTCTTTAAGAGAAAGACAGTGATCTAAAATTAATAAGACTATTTTTTTATCTTATAGTTTCCCCCTACACCTAAAATCCTATCAGATAGCACTTAGCATGTCAGGGACGAGAAGGCAAGAGCTTCGAAAAAGCGATGGGAGTGGGATGGCAACACATCAGGATTCACATTCTCATATCAAAGGTGGGTCGGCAAGAAAGGCAGTGATGACCTTCCTTATGGTCAGTTAAAACCAGAGGATGTGCCAAGACTGGTTTAGTTCAGTGGATAGAGCATCGTCCTGTGGACTGAAAGGTCCCAGGTTCGATTCCGGTCAGGGGCATGTACTTTGGTTGCAGGCACATCTCTGGTGGGGGGTGTGCAGGAGGCAGCTGATCCATGTTTCTCTCTCATCGATGTTTCTAACTCTCTATCCCTCTCTCTTTCTCTCTGTAAAAAATCAATAAAATACATTAAAAAAAAACCAAAAAAACAGAGGATGCATTTTTATAAAGATGCATTCGTAATGACACACACACACACACACACACACACACGTATGCAAAAGGTGCAAAAAAATTTTTACTCTTTAATCAAAGAGACACAAATATACTTAAGAAAGAGAAGTTTTATTAGGGCAATTTCACTTTATTTTTCCATACAGCAAAGTCAACTACTGCGGTAATAATAAAAGAGGCGTAAAACAAATCGCAGCCCAAGACAAAATACATAATTGTAAGCAACTACAAGCAGAAAGTAAGTTGTGATTACATAAGAGTAAAACCAAGCACATCTGTCCTGTCAGCAGATGAAAGGGGCGGGGTTGCCGGTAAGTGCAATGTGGGAACCAGCTGGCGTGAGGGCTGGCCACACAGATTCATTCAACAAGTGCCCGTGATCACATTCGCTTTTTTGAGTGCTTCTGAGTTGCCAATTTAGAACCATGAACTTTGAACAGTGTTTTCTCTTTTCACCTGCTGAAAGAACAGGCTTCCTACAGCAATTAAAAAAACAATCACATAACATCTAGAGCTACGCTGTGCTGTTTGGTTTGCCTGTTTATAGTTTCAATTTTGTGAAAGTCATTATTTGTTTTTGAAGATTGGTGTGTGTGTGTGTGTGTGTGTGTGAACAATAAACCACTGAAATTGGCAGAAACTGATTAGAATAATATGTCCTTAGTGTAGTTCTTTCTCTCTTTTTTGTTGTTGTAGTTGTTGAAGCTTTAAACATGCAGTAGTTTTGAAAAATGTAGGGAATATCTGATCCATGATTTCACCTTAATGGTTGAAGTACCTGCTATTTTTGGTAATGGTCTTCAGGCAGATTTGGCCCAGTGGAGTTTTTGTCAGTCATGAGATCTCGGAAGGATGGCATATCTTTCCAGCTGAAAAAATCCTGGCAAACTACAAGCTGTCCACAAAAAAGCAAAGCAACGTTTGAAGGGGTACGGAGTGCTAACTCGGTGCCACTTTTGCAAGCAATTTTGCTCAGTCTCATTTTATTAGCCTTAACAAAACTCCTTGTAATTATAGACGTTTTTATTCAAAATAAGATCTTACTATTATACAGGTTTCTCTCTTTTGACTATATACAGAAGTGCAAAAAGTCAACCTTCTCTCTAGACGTCCCAACATGCTCAATTGCAGCATAATCAACCCTCAAGAGTTTGCACACACGCTAGAATTCTCATTTACGTAAACTTTGAGTATTTGGATTATCAACAAAAAGTCCCTTGTTCTATTTATTGATTATGCAGCTTATTTATAACAAGGCTTGATATTCAGGGATTTCAAAAATATTAAACAATACTTTAACATTTGAAATGGATACAGTAGAAAATAAATTTTATTCTAATATCTAGATTCTAGGTCTTCTTATAATAACTAATTACAAACAAAATAAATCATCAAAATATTACTCAATTGTCTGCCAGGATTGTTGCGATAGCAACAACTTAACTTCTTACTTAGCAATGATTATATATTTATAAGATATCCATATAAAAGATCTTTGTTCTTTTAATGAAAACTAGACAAGAACTAACAATGACTGACATTCTTACACTTTAATATTAAATCAGTAAAATAGAAATCATTTAGTTAACAATAATACGAATATTCATATGACACTACATGTAATTCAAAACTGAGTATGTTATGAAGGAAAAACTACTTTAAATTTTTTTTTTGTATTTTGAAAAATTCATCAGTAAAGTCTAATAAAACAAGAGTCTATAAACTGAAATGGTATTCAATTGTTAATACAAAATGAAATCTAAGAAGTGTAGGAAATGAAAAACTACATTTTAACAAGAAAAATAAGTAATATTCTATAATGTAACTAACTACAATAACATGTGAAGTCACCATTACTCTCTCAACACGATTGAAATTACATTGGTATGGGTTCCAACCCGTAATGTAATAATCTAAGGCTTTAATAGATGTACAGTACAATCAGTAAAATCAACACATCAGTCTTATATTAGAAAGCATCTCTCTCAGGCATAAAAACTTGCAGTAAACTTGGAAGTATGGAAAGTTCTACAACTGAACTTTCGCCTCTCCCATTCCATACTATAACTACCAGTAACCTGGCCCCTACTTCAGCGGTTGCAAAACCGCTGACCAGAGCAAAAATACCCTTACTAGCTGCAACACCCAAACCACAAAAAGGGAATTCCTTTGGATGAATCCATTCTTAAAAGCTGAATGCACATCTATTTTATTTTTATAATTTTGTAAAAGGCTTTCTAAGGCTATAAGCAGTTAATTGGAACAAAAACAAAAGAAATCAAGTATAAAATCCCCCCAAGTACGTATAACCCACCCGATTGCTAGGTAAGTGAAACACCTCCCATTTTCATATTTTGGTTTATCATGCATCTGATGACAGTGCTGCTTTCTTCTTTGTTTAGAGTCACTATTTTCAACGTGACTGTGATGAAGCATTTAAGCAAACTTGGAACCATTTTTGCAAAGCATTTAGAGTCTTTTGACTTTGACAGAGCTATAAATAGAAGCAAAATAATTTCCTCAAACATATTTTTTTTGTTTGTTAATCGTGTCTCAGAAATGGCATATCCCTTTTGAATATCATGTTATACAGTATAGTATGCATAAATATTACACTACAATGCATTAAAATAATTATATATATATATATATATCTATTATATATATCTCCAGTATGTGTGAGTTTATCGGTATTGAGAGAAATGGTGTTGTGCTGTTCTATTGTTACTGTGGTTACATTGGCCATTTCTGAGACAGCTTTGGTTTCCAAAAAAAAAGAAAAAAGAAAAAAAAAAGAATGGTGCCCTTTGACTGATTAGTACTAGCAAATAAGCAACAAAATGTGGCTCTGAAAACAATAACACTGAAGAAATAATACTCTAATTTGATGTACAGTCTATGGCACTTCATGAGAATCCTTTACAACATGGTACTTAAAGCCATGATGTGCTTTAAAAGATACACAGTTGTGGTTTTGCTTGGCACATTCATCTCTGTCAGATCCCTCCCTCACCTCATCTTACAATCTATTACATTAAAAATATTACTCTTAAACAAAAATGACTGTGCATGCACGCTCTTCACCTCTAATGGCAATTTTAAATACAAGGTGCACCTTTGTTATTTGTAAACCTTGAAAGAAATAAACTTTTTTTTTTTTTTTAAATTATACCTTGGTCTACAGACGTACCAATACATAAGAGAATCGTGGTTACACCATAGTCTGTCTTTTCAAGATGGCATGAATCTATTAGGAAACTAATTAGGTCTGCATCGTTGAATGCATAACCCTGTGCTAGAAAAGAAAGACGATGTTGTTCTTTTATAGACAGGTATATCACCTCAGCACGAATATCAATTAAATGTACAAAGTGTATAGGCAACAGTGTGCAGTGGGTTTCCATGTTGTCTTCTCTTCTGGTTAACATGCAATATGTGGATGTCTTGTGGCTGAGGGGTTTTGGTGGGGGTTGCTTGACGGTATATACAATATGGCTAATGACCTCGTCCTTTACTCTATCCAAGCACACTGTCCTTTCCTCTTTAGTATGATCTACAAAGGAAACAACAACAACACACAGTCTTTGTTAAAACAGGCTACAGCTCAAAGCAGGTTCCAATACATATGTACTAGGAAATTTGCATGGCTTGAGTTATAGCATCTTCATATAAAAACAGAAAAACACTGCACAAGTACACATGGAACTAAATTTGCTGACCCTTCCCATGAGAATACAATGACACGCAGAGCTTCATGAAGATCTAGACTCTTCTCAAAGACTAAGCTGAAAGTGTAAAACGACTCTGCAGAATCGAGGGACAAAACGTAGCCGGCGATCTTTTAGCACTACCGTGGTGGGGCAGGATTTAAATTCATTTTACGTCTCTGCTGAAGCTCATGGGTTTCAAGAGGAAAGCTTTGGCTTACAAAATTCAGATCCATGCAACCAGCCCCATTAAACACGATTCCCGATACAGGGGTTTCCTGACTTACGGGTGGGCTCGACTGCCATTTCTTTGACTTTGCACTGATGTGAGAATGCTAAGCACTCAGTAGAAACCAGCTACTAAGCTATGAGGCTGGGTAGGTGAGCTGTACTAAATGCATTTTCAACTTATAATGAGCTTATGGGGACCAAATCCCATCATAAGTCGAGGAGCATCTGTATTTGGGTGATTGATTAGCGCAATATGTGTATAGGGGGAAAAAGAATAATAGTTTTAACTACTTTAGATCATTTAATGTTTGGGGCAATTTTTTTTTTTTCCTGCAGCCAAGAAAAAGTAATATCATTCCTTATGCTCCTGATGCATTAAAGTGAAATAGATTGTACTTGTATGTAGATCTGGTGTTTGGACAAAATTTGTTCTCATCAGAGAGTCTTCACATATTAAAAGTATACTTTAGAATACAACCTCGAGAATAAAAGAAACCATTATTTTGCTTCACTCAGAACCAGTTTAGCCCTAGCCGGTTTGGTTCAGTGCATAGAGCACATGTGTCAAACACAAGGCCCGCGGGCCAAATCCGTCCCGCCAGGCCTTGCAATGTGGCCCGCACCGCGCTGTCATCACTGCACTCCACTGCGTTTCCATCACAATGACAGTTTATGACTGTTCAGTAAACCATTCGGCCCGCGATTTAGGCTGGATTTTAGATTTTGGCCCCTTCTCTGATTGAGTTTGACACCCCTAGCATAGAGGGTTGGTGTGAGGACTGAAGGGTCCCAGGTTCGATTTTGGTCAAAAGCACATGCCCGGGTAGTCAGCTCGATCCCCAGTAGGACGCATGCAGGAGGCAGACAATCAATGATTCTCTCTCATCCTTGATGTTTCTCTCTCTCTCCTTCTCACTTCCTTTCTGAAATCAATAAAAATATATTTTTAGAGTTCAAATATTGAAACTCATGAAAATAACCAATCATTTGTTATATGCATATACTATGAACAGCCTAAGCCTCAAAGGTTTTCTAACTGCAATAAGGCCATTTGGCATTATTTTTTGCATCCTGGATTATTGCTAAGAAATAGAAGGAATATATATATATATATATATATATATATATATATATCTCAAACATACCCAAATGACTATAAAGTCTTGAAACAGATTTTTAATGTAAAAAGAACTCTTCTTCCAAACCTACATACTACAAATTAATATGCTTATTCAAACATGTGTTACTGTTCAGAATAATAAACCTTATTATCAGAACTGCATAGAGAATGCTGAGACTGGCAAAATCATTTTCAGTCATGTACTTCATGACTGTAGTATGTCTTTGGTAGTACTTCTCACATTCTCCCCTTTCTTTCCTAAATGGCTCTCACATATTTTCTCTCCTCTTCTGCATGGGCTCAACCTTTGTCCAGTTTTCACTATGAGTTATTATCACAAGGGCCTCTGAACTGATTATCTGCCATCTCCTGACATGGCACTCTGTCCCTTCTCCCATAAGGCCCTTATCTCCTCTCTTCTCTCTTCAACAACCAACCTTCTTTGTCCAATTTCACTTACTTTCTAACTCTGTTGGGTGAGTTGCTCTTTATCATTGTTCCAAGAAAAATTTATTCAAGGATTTCTTATTTTAATACAGTGTGCTGAAATTTACCTCTTGATCTTTTTGCCTATTCATCTTTATCTCATTGACATGGTCATTTACACATAGTAGCACCAGAAAGTCACTTGTAAATGTGTTATTGAAGAGAAATGAATGAAAGGACGCAACAGAGAATGATCATCCATCTTATTCACCAGAGGCAGTTTTAAATGTTGTGGCTCTTTTAAAGTATAAACATAATTACCTATTGTACTTCATATATGCAAACTTGGATGCATGCATACTGGAAAAAACACACACATATATTCTTTAAGCATGGAAAATTACTTCCTTTGCAAAGTATGTAAGTCAGTGTGTCTGAAGACAAGCCACAAGACTTTCACACCATTTTTTAGGAATGGCAACATTTCCAGAAATTATATGATCTGCCAAGGTGACTCAAGGTGATTTCAAAGTACCTCAAGCTCATTTGGATATTTAGATGTATGTATGCATATATATGAGTATGTGTGTATATTTCTTTCTTTTTTTTATGTGCCTCAGGCATAAAGCAGCTCTGGCCACCAACACAGGTATCAAGCCAAGATGAACTAAGAATTGTACCTCTGATTTGCCCCTGACTGATATAAGAGCAACACCACCAAACAGGTATCTCCTTGCCCATTGCCAGCGGCTATATGAATTTATTTAAAGTCATACTGCTTACATTCTAATGATACTATGAGGTGAAGCATGTTCTCATTTAAGATTTTATTTCTCCCTCTTCCCCCCACAACCCCCCCCCCCCCCAAAAAAAATGAGGATCTACAAAAGGGATCAGGAAACTCTTGCCTGTGAGCCAAATACAGCCTATTGGCTGCCTATTTTTGCAAATAAAGTTTTATTGGAACAGAGCCACACCCTTTCGCTTACATGTTGTTTCTTGTAGAGTTGAGTAGCTGAAAGAGAAGAGTGGTGACAGAAAACACATGGCACACACCACCAAAAATATTTACTGTGTCTTTTAAGAAAAAGTTTGCTAGTTCTTGATCTATGCCTTCTATTTAGATTTAAGTCATATTTTTTCTTCAGGCCTGTGGTTTATTTCTAATGTAAACTAAAAGCAAAATTTATCTTCCCTAAGTATTATGTATATTTAAGTGATATAAACATATTTAATTTGTATGATAAAATCCCTCATAACCCATCAAAGATAAAAATACAAGTTCTGCATAAGTATTTCCCTTGAAAGTTTGCAAACATTTTCTTAAATGCATTACATAGATGCTATCTTTAAAAAATAACATCACAAATACATGCTATGTATCGAATAATGAACTTACTGTTTAGTGATGAAAATTCTACATCTGGGTAACATACTTGTGGCTAGTCAGATGTTCGGCAGATATTATGGGTATCTAGCAAATAAAAAATTATTTCATGAATGATCCATGCAAGCAAGCCAACCATCAAGAGATGAAAACATTTCAATATTAATTTTTTTTTTTTTTAAGAAAAGTGAAATTCAGCTGTCAGGTGATAGTCCTTATCTGGTCAACACAACAGTAAGTTAATGTACACGTAATGTCAAAGTAGCAACTCAGTCTTAAAATCTTTGTGTTAAATACTATTCTGTCAATGTTATCGGACTTTAAGAAGAGAAGTAAAACTATCAAAAATTCATGCAGAGCAGTAATTAAAAGAAGCCCTTTTTGTTGGCCTACACACACACACCCACACCCCCGTGGTTTGAGTTATTCAGTAATCCAAACAGCAAAGTAGAAAGTGTCTTGCCTATTTTTTGTGCAACCAATTCCTAACATTTTCTTTTGTACAACTTCTTTTCCAATTTAAAATACCAGGTAGGAATTACAGAAGCATATTTCAAGAGAACTGGGTAAGAGCATAAATCTACATCACAACATATTTCTGAATCCTAATTGTACATTTTTCTCTTTCTTTCTTTCTTTCTTTCTTTCTTTCTTTCTTTCTTTCTTTCTTTCTTTCTTTCTTTCTTTCTTTCCTTCCTTCCTTCCTTCCTTCCTTCCTTCCTTCCTTCCTCCCTTTCCCCCCTCCCTCCCTCCCTCCCTCCCTTCCTCCCTCCCTCCCTCCCTCCCTCCCTCCCTCCCTCCCTCCCTCCCTCCCTCCCTCCCTCCCTTCCTTCCTTCCTTCCTTCCTTCTCTTTCTCTCTTTCTTTTTTTTTTTTTTTGTATTATAAGTGGGCAAGAGAATTAAAAATCCTGAGAAAAGATAGTAAGAAACCAAAAGAGAGGTGACTTATTTCAATAGCCCCCAAAGCCAAGAACTTCCCATATGTAGCTGATCCTCCTACAACCCAGAATTACAGCTGCTAACCTAGGAGAGGCCGCATCATCGATGGAGACTCTCAAAGGACTGGGATCATGGGTTCTAACACGAGTGACCCATTTCCTACCGTGTAACCTTGAGCAAAGCACTTCATCACTCTGTGCTTAAGTTTCGTCAACCAAAAAGGGGCACGAATCCCATGCCAGCAAGGTTGTGGGAGAATAGTGAGATCACATACATGAAGGCATTTTCGTTGTTGTTGCTTCAATTGAGAGGTCCTAGACTAATGTAACGTTATTACAATTCACTGTCTGGAGTGTAAATTAATATGTCTCACTTTTATTTCCATTTTTTTTCAGCTTGACATCTTTACACAGTTTTACAGCATTGGCAAATGGCACGAAAATGTGCTCCAAGCATAATGAAGCTTCTCATACCATTTTTCCTGCTGCTGCAGGACAGGATGTTGCACCCAACAGTGTAGAAGCATCAGGGATGGGGCTGTCGAAACATACCAAGGACCTTCAACACCACCACTCGATGCAGATGCAGGGCCAGCTATACACTTCTGCAAGCATGCAGGCTGCATTTTGTGGCATCAGCTATTTCCAGCATCGCTAATGTACTGTAGGCATATACATATGTATGTATATGTAGATATAATATATGTGTGTATATATATATCCGTTCCCTTTTCTTTCCTTTGATTGTAAAACAGTATGAAGACCCAAGATTATGCATGAAATGGTCACAGCACAATGCAAAAAAAGTAAAGTGTCCCCTACAACCCAGGTGGCCAGGGGCATGTTGGGATTTGCTTTGCTATAGTTCTGCTTACACCAGCAATTCTACGGTCATGCATGGTACACACAGGAGAATTTGGCATCATCGATCTACCCCATAAATGGATTGCATTGAATCCATTAAGAACTGTCTGCCGTAGGGTAAAGATTACTTACTAACATGCTACATATGCACAATCTAGCATTCTTGTAAATGAGTCTGATGTGTTAGCATAAATCCAGGGCTATTTTGACAAGCTTCGGGAAAACTACTGAGTGGTCTTTGCCAAGAAGTGTTTAAAGCTTGTGCGAATCTTTAAGATACATCCCTATACCATTCTTGAAAGTTTTTAATGGCTATCCTAATAGTTTTTAGTTCTTCAACAGAATATAGTGTGTTGTAGAAACAAGGGTGGCTATTCCTCATAGCAATAACTATGTATTCAAATGGCACTTAATTGGTCTTCTCTCCCCAAAGGACAACATGTCGATTCTCATCTCATACGGGCTCTTTTGAGATTCACTTGGCTACATTAAACCTTAGTCTGTGGGATATATGAAATCTGATTTGGCTCTTAAATTTTTTCATATGCTATTATCCGTACTGAACTTTGCTTTCATAACAAATATATCTGGATAATTCAAGCCAAAACCTCCTACTTTATATAGATTTGATTCAATGACAATACTCATTGAATCAATGTCAACTTTTTAATTAAAAATATTTCAATACTCATTCTCTTTAAAATAGTCCTTCTCGTATATCATTCAATTTAAATTTCTGAAACAGATCCCTTTTACTTAAAAGTAACCTGTGTTATTGTTATTCTATAACCTGTATGGAACAGAGAATTGATTGTCTTTTTTTTTTTCCTTCATAACTCCCCAACATTTAAGGTGGGCAATTACAGAAAAAAAAAATGTTTTTCATTGAAGAATCAAAATGTGAACATGAATTTAATCTATTTTTGAATATGCAGTATGCAAACTTTAACAAATTCATAACAAACTCTATTTACAAGAGTGGTTCTTGTGGCATATGTTAGATATTTAAGTATTGTGGTTTATATTAAGAATTTAGGCAAGAACTGAGAAATTGTACACACCAGATATTTATAATTAAAAAAAAACACCTTAAAATTAGATGCATTTTTTGATCAGTCAAAATACCTGCATGATTGGTTGAGACCAAATGAGAATTGCTTGTGTAAATATAATTTTAGTAGCTTTAGAAATGGAGCTGCGACAACTTTGGAGCACTTATAAATGGCAAAAAAGCATTCTGCTGCTCATCGTAGAGAGAATGTGTAGGCCAACAAGAGGAATCTTTGAAAACCCCATGCTATTAAAGCACCCACGACAGCCCTCACGTACACACGATTCCCACTGACCTCAATGGGAAATCCCCGTGCGTAAGGGCTATTGCATTGAGCCCTATCAGAGTTGGTTTTTAAGAAACAAAGCTGTAAATTAGCAAACCTGGTTGGCTGTGGCTGTTGCAGCGAAGGGAACACTTGTGGCAGATGTTGTTGCTGCGGACACAGTGGCTGGCGTAGCACCGTGCACCATGGGAACTTTCGGAGGGAAAATCATATAAGCAAACATACAGAAGAGTGTAGCAATATGGAAACCATGGCAACATGGAGGAGATAATTGGGCATGGTATTTATCACAGCAATAAGCCATGTGACGGGGACATCATCACCAGCGAGTGACATGCAATCACAGCGCAAAGCAGGACAACATTCCAAGGAGAGAAGGGGAAGGGAGATGAGAGAGAAAAAAAAAAGGGGGAAAAAAAGCTTGTTACCATCAAATTAAGAAAATTGACACAAACAGGCTTACTTTGCTAAGTCACAAACAAGAATTTTATATAGTGTTCATAGACATTCTAAATCTAAGTCAACATACAGGTATTTACTTCATATATATATATATATATATATAGTTAACTGAATGAAAGTAATTTTTCTTATTTACTATTATAAAAATAAACAATATATTACATTTTATGAGATAGATTTGTTTACACACTAGAACTCATAGTCCAATCAAAATCCACCAAAGGTGACTAAAGGAAAGTTGTGTGTAAAGAAAACATTTATGTGAGTCCATGTCAATTAAATAGAAAATGGCATTTAATTGACAGGTGTTAGTAAAAGGGAAATGGACTTGCCCAATAGATAAAAGTTAAAACTTAGCAGTGGATTTTGAGGGGCTGTGAGGTGCACCATAGGTTTAAGATAATCAAGAAACAAAGCTGGCACCTACCAACACTTGTAGCGGGTGTCATGCACAATATTGAGCCTGCCCATCATGCATTGCAACAGGAAGGTGGATTTGAAAGGGAAAAGAATTAAAACATCCCATCACACGTGTAATTAGGAAATTCATTTGAACAAAGAAGAAAAATTGTTATTATGGGAACAGTGGCATGAAACTGTCAGCACAATCAAATCATACAATAGCATAGTGATCAATTAGAACTAGTCTCGAGTGAAGAATAAAAGCCAGTTCAACTGTCTGCTGGTACACTGGTTTCTCCTAGTTGCTGCCTATGAAATACGAGTATTTTGGGGGGAAATTTAAACCACCTTAATTCTTTTAAAAAATAATACTGTCGCTTGTTTTGTTTTAACCTGGTGACTAGCCACCTTGCCGCCACTTTGCCATTTCTGACTTTAACGTATGAACTCGTTAACATTTTCTTTATGTTGAGCCCATGTTAAATAATGAAACATATTATTCATTATTAAAATGCTGAACGACTCAATGCACAAGACTGACTTAACAATGTAAGGAAACCAAAACATTCATTCTCATTCCCTTGGCTTTACTTTCCTGTTCACAGTAGCAGCAACCACACGGACATGCAAGTGCTTGTGATCATTCACGTGGGAATTTGATTTGGAGGGATACCAAAGCAATGAATTATGGGTAAAGAGCAAGTGAACTTTCTGTACTGCCTGAGCTTGGAATTTCAATGCAGGAAGAATAGTTAGAGGGGGATACTTTCATGTTTCAAATTGGTTTACTTGGTACCTGGGAAAACAGACTAGTTTTCTTTGCTGGTTTTAGGCCCTTAGGACTTCTTGGAATAACAAATATTCTAGCAAATTTCACCCACAAAAATTGGTAATTAGACTGCCGTAAAAACCCTGAATGGGAGATAATGAAGATACATACATTACATATGGGGTGTTAGCACTGATGTTGACAATTGCTCGACCATGATGTTAAATTATCAGTACATATATATTCCTTGTTCTTTGTGACATATAAACATTTAAAAAAAAAAAAAGTCTAATTTATTTTACCAAGTACAGGGTACCTTCTCAACTACAGAACTGCTCTTCTTTCTATGAGATTGTTTTAGACTTTTAGATTTTAATATTTCCAATGATTTTACACTCCTATCTGAATCTTGGCACTTCCTATTTACATACTAGCAGCATCTGGGAGGAATATTTGTTAGAAAAATATCTGCCAATTGAGTCTTGTCAGAGACAGCCCTACAAGACAAAGCTGCCATTGACAGCCACTGAGGATTCCACGGGCATGCCTGGGACAGCTGCAGTGGGTCTGTGATCACAGTTAGACTGAGGGCACAGTGATCGTGATTAAACCTGGTAATGGAGCTCAGGAGGCATCCTCTCAGGTGGAGTTCTGTTACAGCGATAGGCATTATTTAAGACACCCAAAGATCTCTGCCATTTGCTACAGCTACTGGGTCAAGGACTTGTGAAAGACAACAAAAACAAACAGGCAATAACAGAGACGTCACTTTGAGACAGTAGAGCAAGCAAAATTGAATACTGTACAGCTGGGTCTAGATCCTGTGAAAACATTGTCCTCTAATGGGAGGGGTGAGGGTGAAAGGATGAGTGATAAAGAATAACATGGTATTTTAGGACTATTAAACCTAGTTGAAATATTGCAAAGGTTTTATGTTTTAAATTTCTTATTTTTAATTATGCTGCAATTTGCCTCCTATATTTCACCCCATGCATAATTAAGCCTGCACATGCTGAAAATGAGTTAACCTTACCCTATCTCTCTAAAACCCTGGAGCTTTTATTATTTGAATTTTAGTTTGAGTTATCTTCCTCATTACCAATTATAACCAATGCACACAGTTTGGGGAGGGGTTTGTAGCAAATATAAGGCAGCAATGAAAATACTGGCTAGGGTGCAATAACTTACAAATATGAAGACATAATGCTGTAGGACCCACTTACCAAAAACAAAAATCACTTTTGAAATGATCATAATGTTCATTTTAACATCAAATGATTTGATTTACTTAGAATGATGCACAAATAGCCAATTAAATTCTTTTCCCTCCAATATTCAGCACAAGATCAAATTTAAATGAATGTAGTTGTCAATTTCAAATTTCCCCTATGAAAGATATTTGTATGGCAAAACAGTGTGTTTCTGAGGAGTGCATTACTTTAATTACAGGACTTTTTTAAATTAAATTTTTAAATCAATCTGTATGACAATATAGGAAAAACAACTAGGAAAAATTTATAAGTGAGATGTATGCATAGTTAAAATTACTTCAAAGAGAAGAAAAAATAGAAGAGAAAAAAGAAATAATGGAGATTTGGTTGGAGGTTCAAATTTAGATGTGATAATTCAAGCTTATTTAGGTATATTATGATAAATATTAGGTATAATTCTTTGAAATTTCATCTAGTAATCTGACTATAGAAAAAGTGATGGATTATTTGTTTGAGACAGTATAAATTTAGGGGTATGGAAATTTTAACAAGAGCAAAAAGACTAATTTCAGAAATCTCTGGAAAATTACATATGTTGAGGAATATGTTTTAATATTATAAAGAATAAGGTAAATGTGATTTTTAACTCAGAATACAAAATAAAAATATCCTATAGATCTAAATTTTGAAAATGGGAAGACTTCAATTTGATAGATATTATTTTATGAGTACAAATATGGTTTACTTATGGTGTCTAGAGCATGGGCTATTTCAGTCAGTGGAATATTCTAGCTCATTGAGTGCTATTACATATTCTATATGGGGATGGCCAATTTCCAAAGATGCATGATATATGCTGAAACTGGTTTGGCTCAGTGGATAGAGAATCGGCCTGCGGACTGAAGGGTCCCGGGTTCAGTTCCAGTCAAGGGCATGTACCTTGGTTGCGGGCACATCCCCAGTAGGGGGTGTGCAGAAGGAAGCTGATGGATGTTTCTCTCTCATCAATGTTTCTAACTCTCTGTCCCTCTCCCTTCCTCTCTGTAAAAAGTCAATAATATATATATATATATATATATATATATATATATATATATATATATATATTAAAAAAAACAAAGATGCACGATATAAAAATTGCTTAGTGAAAATTAATGTGTATATAATTTATTCTTTTTTATTATTAAAAAATAAATGATCACATTCCCCAGTGGTATTATGAACTTAATGCACTGCCAATAGTGTCAAATGGGTCTGGATCTTTAACACATCTATTAAAAATTATTAATTTACATAAAAACATAAAAATTACTTTATTAAGTAAGTCTCAGAACTCATGGTAATATTTTTTTGTAAGGTTTTTAAGAGGTAAAGAGGAAAATGGTCTTAGTCTCTGGTTAGTTAATTTCAGATTACAAGGAGATTAATATGTATTTTCTGAAATAGATGAAGAATGACTTAAAATAAATATCCAGGTCAGTAAGTGACTGATTAGTTTATGTTTTTAAATTTCATAACCTTGTGGATAGTTCTAGAGTGTTTATGTGACTAAGTTGAAATCAACTGAAACCACAAATGGTACAAACTCTAGAATAAATGTTATCATCACTGGGCACTGACAGCTATTTCAATATTAACTTAGGATCAGTTGTGATTGTGAGCCATGCACTGATTGGTACTGAAGGGAGCACTTTTAAGGGCCCTAGGACACTGTCAGTTTTTCATTCTCCACCTTGAGAACAAAAGGGCTGACAAATCGAAATCAAAAGCGAAGGTCTCATTTCAAAGAATTCGAATGGACTCCATGGAATCATGAAGGCAAAGGGGTCTTACAGCAGGCAAGTGTCATAAGTAGCCTGGCACACATACAACACGTTTGCGGAAAGAAAAAACAAAACAAAAACAAAACAAAAAAACAACAAGAAGCGCCACATTTCAATTCCAAGTTGCACAAACAAAAAATAAGTACATAAAACATCACTGATCTTCAATCCATGTTTCGTGAAACTACCGTTCTTAGTCTCTAAGGAAAACCACATGGGACACCTCCGAGAAGCTTTCACTGTTGCCACCTTACCTTCCACCTTATTTATGGCTAACAACACACTGGGGGCACGGCTGATTTGTCTGCTCTACCGGTAGAACTCTACGTGGATTGGCTGATGCACGGACAAACAGACTCAAACCCCTTACCTGGAGGGAGAAATGCTGTATGCTGTTGTAACTGCATGTTGGCTAGAGCCTGTTGGTATTGGAAAATACCAGTGTTAAAGACTGCGGTGGCACCATTGGTTTTTTCAAGAGCAGGCCTCTTTGGTAATGGGGGAAGTACAGCTTGAGGAATTCCCTGTTTCGTGAACGAGTATAAAAAACAAATACCAGTAAAAAGAGAAAAAGAAAAAAGAAAAATCAGTTGAAGGCTAACATTGTTAGGAAGCATGAGCAAGCAAGTAGCAGAGCACTTAACTACCCATGGGGGGAGGGGATCCAATAAACAAACAACTTTTTAAAAACAAACGCAAGATAAAAGCTTTAAAGGAAGCATTATTTTTATCAAAAACAAAAACAACAACAACAAAAAAAAAAACCCCACTAGTTCATGAGCACTTGTTACAATGCGTTAAGTGTTTTAAGTCCCATAATGCTTCAGGCTTTCTCTGAGAAGCCACTGATTTAGGAAGAGAAGAAAAAGCTGCACTGTGAGCTCCATGAGGATTGACAAGTATAAGCAATGTTAATAGTTAATTGTACTGAGTGAATGAAACAGGTCAAATAAAAACTGATCCCACTCTGCCCCGCCCCCAGCTCTACCTAGACATGCAAATGTCCCCGAGCATGCAAGTTTTTTTTTTTCTTCAACACTGAACTTTAAATATTACAAAGTAAATAATTCTATCGCTAAAGCCATGCTAATCAAAGAGGTACATAAATATACAGTCAAAAATTACAATTTTTATGTCCTTGAAGTATTTCATTAGAACGTTCTACAATGTAGTTAAACTGAATGTGGGCTGCTGGTCTTTCAGAATCTTTCATTGTACGATATCCATCCAGGTACTTAGATTATATAGTCTTTCCACTAATTTTGTCAGGAAACCACACTCAGTTTTTCATTGTACTTTGCAACTTTATAACAGAAAATATATATTTATATATATTAAAATTGATTACCAAAAAAAAAAAAAAAAACTTGTATCTACAACAAAGCTACATGCCAAGCTAAAAGGTGAAAGGTCATAGTACCAGGTCAAAGGTTGCCTCGAGGGGTCGCTTCAGTGATTTGACAGCCGACTGAGTCTTAATTAGCAGGCAGCGAGCACATGATGGCAATGGGCCAGTGGGGTTCAAGCGCATTAACATAAACAGCAAGCAGAGGTGCATCATGGGGGCAGCAGTGCATTTTTTTGGGTAGGTGAGAAAAAACAAATAAAAAAACAAATCATCGGAATGCCATATACAACGAATAACAAGACTAAGCATGCACAATAAGGGCACTACTGAGTTGTTATTGGGAGGATAACTCCTCTTTGTAGTTAATTACAAACAAGATACTCTAACAGAAAAAAAAATAAAGTGAAAGGCAGAGAGGAGGAGAGAGTCAGCCTTCTGTATTTTTGCTCAAGTATCCAAAAAACAAACACAGAAAACACCTCTCTCGTGATTACTGTGCTTTATGACTATTTTAACGGTCGAGTCATATATTTACGTGTAGAAAGGGACAACATTAAAATAGCTAAGCGAAGAACAAAGAATGGGCTCGTTAAAATCAGCTAGGAGGTCACCTCAAAATTTACCTTCAGACTAGTTCCCTATCGATTCTAAATGATCCCATTTCTAACTCCCCTTTTTCTCCTTTCTAGAGAATGGCATAGTCAAGCTCCTCTCCTTTTCCAATTATGTTTATGCCACGATATTATTTAAGACAATCCAGAGAGCTTACGTGGTTCGAATCTTGCAGCTAATTCTAAACACAATTTTGTGGAAGCAATTCCCCTAAATAGTTTCAAATTATGTGACTGTTAAATGCAAGATATATGTGTATAGAGAGAAGAGCCGTGGTGTGCAGAAGAGCACATGGAATAAGGAGAACACTGGCTGATTAGATAGCAGGTAGACCTACGAGCACCGGAGACAGCAATATCGTTAAACTGAAAAGGAGACAGGTGTTCTTTACAAAGCAGAGATGTCAGAGGCCCTGCCATCCAGAGGAAGACAGAGTATTAAGAGTTAGGCCAAAGGTAGAAGCAATGTGAAACCATTTGAGGAGTTACCCTCACTTTTGTGAATGGTAACTGCATTAGGCATTGTCTGGGATACCTGAACAAACATATCTTCAGCAAAAAAATAAAAAAGAAAAAGTTAATAAATGAAGAGCTTGTCATCAGATACACTGGTTCACTTTGCTAACAAGGAGTGGGCTGGTGTGTGCCTACTCACCATGGCAGCTGCGGTGGCTGCAGCCTGTGCTGCTGCAGCCTGGTTGACCTGGTATTGGGCAGCCTTGATCTTGGCTTGCAGGTGTGCGGGGGGATGAAAGTATTTGCATTTTTCCCGAGAGCATCTCCCTTTGATGTAATCCATGCACACGGTGACGGTGTTGTCATTGGTGTCAATCATTGTGCTGTCAGCAGGATGAGCAAACCGACAATCGCTCTCTCCTCGGTTGCAATTGCCACGCTGGTACTCTCGACATACCTACAAGGTCACACGAAGTGCAAGAGGGTCAGTCAACATGGAACAAGTCAAATCCGTCATGAGGATTTTCATCGACAGTGCAAGACTGGTGAAAGAAGGCCACAGACGAAAGGGAAAACGATCATTGGCAGACAGAGAACAGAATCCCTTGAAAAATTCCTCCTTTTCAGTAAAATGTCCATGAGCAGGAAAATGCATTTATGATACCAATTATGTTCAACACCTTATATAAAATATGTGGATATATTTATTAGTTATTAAGGGGGGGGGGATAGGAATATTGCAGTAAAGGAATCTGGCAGACACTACTTTAACCAGGGGATCAAAGTTAACATCACCAGTAACAACACATTCAAGTACCTACTTTTATGGGTCACTGAAAAAAGGGCACGCCATGGCTTGTCTGACTGCTGAGAATGCATAACCTGAAAAGAATCACGAGGAAACAGCAGACACGCTGAAATGGAAGGATGTTTTACACCATAACTGACCAGTACTTTCCCAAAAGGTCAAGGTCATGAAAGACAGAGAAAGGCGCAGATTGGACAGCTCTGGAGTCAGAGAAAGGATGCTGTTAAGACAAATGATGGAATCCAATTATGCTCCATAGATTGGCTAACAGCAGCATAGCAATGCTAATCTGGTGTTATAAATGACTCTCTGGTTATGTAAGATGTTACTATTTAGGTAAGTTGGGTGAAGAACAGGCAGGAACGCTTAGTTCTATTTTTTGCAACTTTTGTGCTAATCTGAAATCACTCTCCAGTGGAAAATGTATAAAGCAAAATGGGATAGCTTTTTTAGTAAAATGTTGCCAGGAGCTATTATTTTATCTTATTTTATTTTATTTTATTTTATTTTTTTATCATTAAAATATTCCTGGGTAGTTATATAAAGCTGGTGGGAAAAGATTAGTTTTTGTTATTGCCTATTTGGTTTCTGTCTTTCAATTTTGCCGTAGGGACCATGGAGGAAAGGTGAAATGGATTATTTCACATTCATCTGCTCAATGTTGACTCTTTACGATGATTACTATTAATGAAGTCTGCCATGGTGACTGCTCCTGTCAGGTTTCCAAAGCTGTCTTCATTTGGGATAGTTTGACCTTTTTACCACAAGAGGGCCTTCTAAAACATGGAATGTTCTATTAATATTTTCATGTTCCTGCTTCAGGCTTCAAGGAAATGGTTTTTAGTTTTCACTGTTTTTACAAACTGAGCAAATAAAGACCCAAGCATTTTATTTTGGAGTCCAGCAAGAAAGAGAAATGGGAATCCTGTTACTATTTAAAAAGCAGAGTTTTGTTTATTTGTTTTTGATTTGTGTACATAAAATGATCGCATTTAATTTTAGATCTTTTCCCCATTATATTCATATCCTATTGTCTGTATCATGCTACATCTTGAAAAGAACATTTAGAAATGACATCCTGCACTATTTGGAAACCTCGAGCTGGCTAAAGCTTTGTATTCCAAATACTACCAATGGGCCAACTCTATTCACCAACTCAATTCAATTTATTTAATTTCAAAAATTCACTGAATAAACTACTCTGTGCCAGAACATCTGAGAGATATCAAGAATACAAATATGACCCTGGCCTGTTTGCACAGTGGTTAGAGCATCAGCCCTGGACCCAAGGGTTGCGGGTTCAATTCTCAGACAAGGTTGCAGGCTTGATCCCTGGCCCTGATCAGGGTGCATGCAGGAGGCAACCAACTGAAGTGTCTCTCTCATATCTCCCTCTCTCTTTTTCTCTCACTTCCTTTCCTCCATTCTCTCTTAAAAAAATAAAATCAATTAAAAAAAATAATCCTCAGGTGAGGATTTTAAAAAAAGAATATAAATATGATTTAGGAAGTTACTGATAACCCTATTTTATTCCATTTCATTTATCGGTTTATTGTAATGATTTATTACAATTTTGTACTTGATTGCGGGATACAATAAAGGAGAATTCTGAAACTATTTAGCAGAGTTGGTAACTAGCAATTAGTTTAGAATTTATTCTGAAGCCACCCTTTTCTGAACTTTAAATAATTTTGTCAAATGCTTTTGCATGATATGTGTCTCTCTCTCTTTCTCTCTTCTTTCTTTTCCCTTCAGTTTAAGGTTTTTCCAAACAAACATGGGAAATGAAATAGAAAAAAAATACTGAAATAGCTGTTCTCCCATTATTCTTGTCTTTGAAAAGTAAAGAAGAAAAATCTCTTGTGAAAACCTGTACTTGTGAGAGCTACAGGCCAGAGGGGCTGGTTTGGCCTGATTTCTCTGATAAAACTTTAGAGTCTGCTGATCCTCCAAAGAAATCTCTTAGATATAGAATTCTATTAGCAAAATATAATTGACATACAAAATTTCAACAAATTTGATCTTGTGATTTAAATCTGGATAAGAACATGTACAATTTGGAACACAGAAGGTAAAACTAAGTTTGAAAATCCTAACAGCCTTATGGTTCTTTTTCTAGTCTCATGCAGTCGTCTGTGTAGCTCCTACTCTGTGACCTGCTTTTACTAAACATTGTTTGCTTTACTAAGTGTCCACAGTCATCATTTTTCTATGGCTGCATCAAATTCCATCAAATAGATGTGTACAATATATATGTAACTTTCAGATAACATCCAAATCATTTCCAATATTCCCAAATGCATAAATATTGCAAAGAATTTATTCATAACCATAGGCATTTTCTGACCATTTTCTGCACATGATAAATGTGCAGAAATGGCATTAGAGGATGAACAAGAATAAGTATTTTTTATAATTCAGTAAGTGGCTTTTCAAACCTAGATTAAAGTAACTCCATTCATTTAGCTAGACACATAATATACCTCAATCAAGAGTAATATTGGTTGAGTCTTTTACTCTATCAGTATTAAGGCAGGATTTGTTATATAAATCAGGTAAGTTTTAAATATTTGCATAGAAAATGAGTAAGAGGTTCTCTCCAGGCAAAAAGCATCATTTCAATGAAGATATTCACTGAAAACATTTAAGTACTACATTTCATTTCCAAGAAAAATCTATGGAATAAAAAATAAAAAGTAATCAGAAGAGCTTCTCAAAGAAATGTGAATTAATTCTCCATAAAGCTGTTTCTGTTGATTAAATAGAAGTGGTAAAATGGAAAAAAGGATAGAGCTTATGACAAAAAATTTGGGGTTCTAATTCCTATACTCAACTAGCTATCTATATGATTCCTCGAGAATACTAAGAAAATGTATAGATAGCTTAAAACACAGTATATGTGCCTGGTTAAAATGGACAATTCTGTTATTTGATCTCTAATTTCATATAAACATGACAAAACTCAGCAGCAGAATTAAATTCAGTAGTTCTCTGAAAGTTAAGACCTGGGGATTCTAAGGAAATTAATAGCAATGTTTGAACTTATTCAAAACTAGACAGTCAACTGCATGTTCTTTTAAGGCGAGATCCCTTCCAGTATCATGATTTGTGCTCAACATATTAAACTGACTCATCTTTGGAGAAAAACATCCAAAAGCAGGAACAAGAAGCTAATTATAACAAGAAACAGGAACTCAGTCCATTTTAATATTTTGGGAAGTAATTTTAAACCTAATGGCCAATTTTAAGGAGCATATTTAAAGACATATATATACCTGTTGCTCAACAATAAGTACTGTGGACTTTATTTTTTTTATTAAGCTTGGGCTAGCATGGCAAATTAAAAAGAATACTGGATAATCGATGATTTTATTATGTAAGTATCCCCAGCATTACTGGTCATGAGTATATAATTTAATGCAGAGAAATTATCTCTATTTTTATTCAAAAGGGTTAAAATCTCCCCATTTTACAATTCTGGTGATTCAGGGAAATGACCTTAGGTAGTTATTGTACAATTAAATTTCCAAGATAAATACCTGGTGACATAATATCTAGTTTTCGTCTGTTATCTAATAATTGTACAAATTTAGTCTATGTGAATCTCATTTTTTTCCTTTAAAAAAAAAAAAAAGAAAAAGACACCCATTTTGTGTATCTCAGATGATTTCTGTTAAGAACAAACAAGAGTTTTCTTTGAAATCTACAAAGCAGAACCCATCATTAGCATCAGGCCAGAGAACACAAGCCTATTCCTACAGATGACACAGCTAAGAATGTGTAATTTGACTTAATGTGATTTTAAAAATCATATTTGGCAATACATAAATGACCAACTACAACAAATTTCCCATTAAATCCACTGCCATGTTTTAATTCATTTATTCCTATGTATTCCAGATGTGTAAATCGAAAGGACAGGAAAATACAAATATCTATGAAAGAAGCTCATCAATATGCCAAAATGTTCAGACCTGTAGTTTCTTTTATTACTCTTCTTAAATAACAGGAACATGGAGAAATGTTAGTGTTAGTTTGGGTAAAGAAGAGTAGTATAGCAAAACTGAGTGACCTAACCAAGGTCCAAACCTTTATTTGAAACAAATTATAACTCTGCTATCTCTCTAATTACAAGAGAAATAATTGACAGAGACATAATACATTAGATGGTTTAAACAGGGGTGCAAGGACACTTTTAAGAACCATTCTAAAACTTTATTATAGATGTAAAACTGTTTAAACTATGTAAACTATGTAATTCTGTGCACAGAATTCTTAAGATTTCTTAGGGATTTTCTAGATAAACTAAAGTGTCATACAAGCAGTACCCAAATATCCTCTGTGAACACACATAATTAAAGTAACATTAACAATAAGCATTCCTTACCTTAAAAGCAGCTGCTTTTCTAATTTTTTTTAACTGAATGTATTTTATATTCAATAGATCATCCCAATCTAGGCTTGCTTTTACTGCTTTACTGTCACTTTAACCCTCATTTAGCTTTATGTGCCCTTTTCTTGGTTTGTTAGATAATAGATAGATAGATAGATAGATAGATAGATATAGATATAGATATGATTTAAAAGATTTAACCCTGAATTAGCTTTATGCGCCCTTTTTTGGTTTGTTAATAGGTATCATATTTTTA